CCCGTCCATGTTTTCATTCATGTCACAGACATGCATGTGAACCTGTGCAGTTGGGAAGAGGCAGAAATCAGCCTGCCCACAAGATCTGCAGAGCTTTGTAACGCAAAGCAAAAGCTCACCTTTGGTGCAATTTCAAATACACTGCTGTGGTACCAGAAATACATCGGCCTAGCTACCACACAGGTCCTGTGATAGCAAAGTGATCTAAAGCTGATTTTAAACTGGTGCAAAACCCTCATGTAGAACCAGCCAGAGTAACACCAGATTGCTAATGCTATATCGGAGCAGTGGTAGGTGGATCTGTTTTGTTTCGTTTTTATCACTGCTTAGGCTGAAGTTCAGTGGAACAGCTTAATAGAGACTGCAGCTTCAGAGCTGCTACCTACCTTTTTGGAGAAAAAATACATTTTAAGATAAGGTTCCATTCGAATAATATTTCTTTGTTCCTTAGAATAACTTTCTGTGCCTCTTTTCTATATTCTTTATTTTCTGCAGTTAAATTTTCCTCACATGCAAATCATTTTTTTTATCATTATATTTGCAAAAATAGGCAGTGGAGGGTAATTAGGAAAATGGTTAGGATTCACTTTATAATAATACAAATATATTATTTCTCCTTTCTGAAATTTAGAGCAACATTCTCCATAACTTGCTAGCTTGGCAAGTTATGGGCAATCAGGTTCAGGAATGCTGCTTTAATATTTTCTCACATACAGTAAATCAGAGGCAATACTGATTTCTGTTTTGTGTTTTTTTCTCAGTGATCAATATGCTATACAAGTCCTGTTCTTTTGATACTAAATGCCTCTTTATATATCTGTTTGAACAATCATTTTAATTTCAAAGTGACCCTGACTTTATTTTGTAACACATTTACATGTTACTGTTGTCCCCTAAATCTTTAGCAAGTATTCAGATGTGTTTCCTGAGGATTATATCCTGCTTCATTGCCTGTGCAAGGAGAGAGAATTATTAGAGAAATTCAAATATCTTCTGATGAAAAGAATTACTCTAATGTATCTTTTAATACTTCGCTGCTCTAGCTGCATGTTTTTGGGTTATTTGTAATGGTTGGTTTAATTGTTGCCTTTAACTGTTGTGGATCACACTGGGAATCTCTTTGATGGTTGGAGACAAAGTGCTCAGTTTAAAAACAAAATACTCCCCTCCATGCCCTGCCTCTTCATTAAACTTTCAGTAGTCAGTTTCTAGTTCCCACTGGGAAGTTTCTGACTGGGTTCACACATTATGCTAACTTATGGTTTATTAAATAACCACAATTGCCTGTGTTTGCTCTACCTAGCTTTCTATAACATTTATCCACCTATTCTTTCTTTGTGTAGTTCTAGGCAGGAAAACCATAAACCAGAGATTATTTATTTAATACATCTGTACCCTTCAATAATCAATTCAACTCTTGGCAGTTTACGTAGTAGCAAATAAATCCATGGTAAACTCCAAGCAGAAAACAAAACTTCATAAGAGTGAAAAAAGAACCAAACAAAAATAAAACAAGCAAAAATGGCCCCAAACAGATTAAAACACTCCCCAGAACAGCTTTGTCTTTAACATCTTCCTAAATGCACTCATCAGCCTAATCTCTACAGGTGGATTGTTCCAGCGGATTGGCTGTGCCACTAGAAAGTGATGGGCAACTTTTGTGCAACTGGTACTGCACTTTAAAAAAAAAAAAAGCTTTTTGGGGCTTCCAAGGGCTGCAAAGGATAAGGTCAGTGACTTTCTGATATCCCCAAAATGGAAGGGGCCAACATTTTCAGCCCTTTGTGGGGTTAATTTTACTTCTCAAACCCCTCTAAGATGAACTAAAAATGGCCAAATGTTTTGGGATTGCCCACTCAAGGTATTCTCTGGGGGTAAGAGAGAAGCTGGGAGTTTGAATGCAGCCTACCTCGGTTTACGTTCCATATTGTCTACACTGAATTCATATATTATTGTGTGTTAAGCCACAATTTACTACATAAAACACAAGTCCTGAGATTCCCATAAAATGTTAAAACCCAAACTCATGCTTTGCAGGCATGCTGAGTCAAAACAAGTGAAACCACTTTATGGCTGTGCAGGATCTGCAAATTTAGCTGATGACTGGCAGCAGCAATCCATGGTTTCAGAGTCTTTGTCTTTGCTGGAGAGTAATGTACATTTGGAGACAATTCAATTTAGGGCCTTTTGCATACAAAATAGATGCTCTGGAACAGTGTTTCCCAACCTGGAGGACTTTCAGATGTGGGGAATTTTCAGCATGGCTGCTGCTAAGAATTCTGAGAGTTGGAGATCACATACCACATATGGAAGTGGCCTCTTTGCCCGGCTGGGGAAGATTGTCCTGCACTAAACTACAGTCCTTACCTTGATCATTTGCTCCAACCCAGTGGAGAAGATAGTGAAGGGTGTTAATTTGATTACTGTTTCCATCAGATATATCAGAATGTTTGTCTATGGAGTCCAGTACCTTCCACTCTATCTAGCAACAACTTTCTAGGAACTTCAAGATTTTACTTGTCATCTGTTGACTCAGCCAGTTTTAGCGGAGAGGTCAGGAACATTAAATCTGGATCTGGAGTTTTAAAAGGTGCAGCTTTCTTCCTCTAACCTTTGTCCCCTCATTTTCTAAAAGGTTTCTTCATATAAGTAGACCAGCCGTTTTTAGTCAGGTATCTGACTGATATTGGTTAGGAATGATTGGAGTTGTATTCTAACATCTGGAGAATACCAGGTTTGGGGGAAATAAACAGGAATAGAATTTATTAGAGCTTCACTTTTTAATAGGTATATTTGGTAAGTAATAATGATAATAAATTAGTAATCATGTGTAATAATTAGTGCTGAATGTTTAAGGCATCTTAGTTTTAATGAAACCTAGTTTGTTTTTGTAAAAGTAATAAAAAATATTACTAGTTGACTTTCCTTTTCACAATTATGGACACTTTTTATTCAATAATATTTTTCTCCGTATATCAAATCTGTATCGATACTGTGGTTTTGATCGTTTTCAGACATATTTAAACTGAATTGATTGGTTAAAGGGAAGCATATGATATAGCAATCAGCTTTT